TAGAAATAATGTCAGCAATTTATTATTTTCCTGAAAATAAATTCCTCCCTGAGAAGAATGATACTATAATGATGAGTCAATTATAACGAGGCAGTGACCTCTCTTTCATCCATTACAGTATGTCACTAAGTCATCAACAGGGCATTTGGCTATCAAAAGTCTTAATTATCTGGCAGAGCTCAACCCCTGCGATGCTTGGAGTCCAGTGGAAAGCATAGGTAGTTTTGTTTCTCCTTCCCGCATACCTCTGGAAGTCAGTCAGCAATCGCCTGAACTGCTGGAGAGCTTTTCTACCCTCATAAGCCCAAAAGCTGCTGCCACCAGTGAACTGGGAGCTTCTTGAGGACAAAGCACCAAGCTGCCAGCCCCCTTGGGGTCACTTCCCATCACCACACACCTGAGCCGAGAGGGTGGGTACCATACTCCTTCTCCACCCAGCATGTACCTTTGTCCTCTAGGGAGCTTTAGCCCCTCAGTTTTCATGTTGTTCATTCCCACACAAACATTTTCGAACTCTGGCCCAGACTGCGGTAGCCACAGGGGTCCTTCTGTATCTTTGAGTGCAGCCTTTTGACTGAATCCAAATTTTACAGAACAAATCCTTTTAATAAAGAGATTTGTCCTGTGACATCTGGCTTCGGTCAGGGCTGCCACACTTGGGGATCTGGAGGGCCACATGTGGCCTTGGGGCCACAGGTTCCCCACCCCTGGGCCAGTGGGTCCTGGGGAGATCTGTGTGATCCCAGAGCTTGGACATTCTGGGCGGGCTATCTTCAGACGAAAGCGACAGAGGGCTAGTATAGCCAGCTCTCTGCCATTCAGATCCTTTTTCTCCCCTTCCTTTACCCTTCCCCACCCACTGCTGCTGAGAAGCACTAGTCCCCCAAGGGACAGTTGAGCCAAGACTCAGGAGTGGCTGCTTCTCTGTTGGCATGTCCACTACCTCGAGGCTCCCATAGAGAGTGGGGCTCACACCTTTCCTATTTAAGACCTGCAGAGGACCAAGGGGTGCTCAGATTGTGAGTTCCCTGCCTGCTGGCCCTACCCAGTGATTCTCACCTGGCTGCTCCAGCAGAGCAAAGCGGAGCATACCTCAAAGCAGAGGGACATCAAACCTGCTTGAGCACTCGATGGGCAACTTGGGACCAACATGCTTCTCCCTGGCATGATCAGGGATTGAACTTGGGGGACAGGGTTTCAGGCCATATCTCATACCCCAAGGACTCCATCATGTTGCTCTGGGGCATGCAGGGGAGATTTGCGAACTAATTTCAGGAGGTGAGGGAGCCCGCACAAGCAGAACTGACAGGAGAATGCAGTATGGGTCCGAGCTGCAGTGCACTTGTAGAGTACCCCTCCCCCCACAGGAAAGCCATGCTTTCAGCCTGGGTTGGAATCCTGGACAGGGAAGCTCCTACCCCACAGAGCCATTGCTGGGGAACTCAGCTAGTTTGAGCTCCTTCCTGCAGCCAGATGCCTGAAGGAGACCTTGGGACAGGGGAGCAGAGAGAAGAGCAAAACCCACTCCTGACAGCCAGTGTGTGAATCCCAGACAGCCCCTCCCCCACAGGCAGACTTTCTGTCTTGGTGGGTCCTCTTCAGCCCCAGCAGCCCCTGGGGAAGTAGACCCTTGACCCCTGCTGACACAGCTCTTTTCCTGCCTTTTTGGAGCCTGAAGGCAGGCTCACCTGACTCAGCCCTGCCCAACCTCACTCCTCCACCCACCTCTGCTGTGGTGGAGAATGAGGAATCCCCTGGGAGTTGCAGGGCCCTGCTCACCACCTGGGGCATTAGAGTGCTTCTCCTGAGGGGCTAGAGTCAGTCGCAGTTCCAAAAAACAACACTGTAGTTGCCTCTTTCTGGTAAGTGCCCCCTACTGGAAGGGAGGACAACTTGTATAGCCCATTACAACTTTTACTGACTAAATTGTGTAGTGTGTGGCTGACTCTTACCCACAAGCAACACCTATTGTCTCAGAGATTAAACTGGGCATATCAATATAATACACACTGTTAAGCCCACAGGGCTGGGGAAAGAAAAAGGATTGCAAAGACCTCCATTATTCCTCATCAAGAGACAGGGACTCTGCCCACACACAGCTATAGCCTACAAATAATTAGCAACTGAGAAAAACACCACAGTAAGGATATCTATAACTAAGGTACCCATCCAGAATAGAAGCCCCCATCGAAGTACCTAAAAGCAGAGGTGAAGGTCCTTACCCAACATATGCTACAGACACACCCTTAACAGTGAATAGGGTGGGGAAAGACCCATCAAAACAAAAGAAAATCCAAAAACAAGCAGTGACAGCTGCTCCAGATGAGAAGGAATCAGTGTAAGAACTCTGGAAATATGAAGAATCAAAGTGAAAGGACACCCCCAAAGGGGCACACCAGCTCTCTAGCAGTAGATCCCAACCAAAATTAAAATATTGAAATGACAGATAAAGAATTCCAAAATGGATTGTAAGGAA